GAGATCAAAATACACCGAGAATTGTTTACATTGTTACTACTGATGGTTGAAAAGGACCTCTCTAATGTTCCTGGCTAAAAGAATATAAATTGCTTGATTATTTTTATTCCAAAGTTTAATTGGTTTTTGTTCATTTATACCTCTGCATTTGATCTCTCAAAGAATTAATGCTCACTATGTGAAGATCATATGAGGCCATGCAGATTCCTAAGTTAAGATGTTTTATTAGCCAGGTGTGGGTGGCTCACAATTGTAATACTAGCTGCTCAGGAAGCTGAGATCCGAGGATCGTAGTTTGAAACCAGCCTGGGCAGGAAAGTCCATGAGACTCTTATCTCCAATAAACTACTCAGAAAAATCCAGAAGTGGTGCTGTGGCTCAAGTGGTAGAACACTGGCCTCAAGCACAAAGAGGCTCAGGGACAGCGCCCAAGCCCTGTGTTCATGCCCCAGGACTGGAAAAAAAAGAAAATAATTAGCTAAATTAGTTTGGGACAATCATATACTAGGTGCTGTTCAATCATATAATAGGATGTTATATATCTGCAATAATAATTTTCAGAATTATATATTTCAAGTTCATTAAAAAATATATGTATATATTACATATTGATTCATGAATTATCATGATAAAAGAACTACAAATTATCTAAAATCACAGTTCTGGAGTCAGAAACTCCATGTTAAGAATTTGTATTAAGATTTGCACCCCTGGAGCTTACTAAGATAAAAAAGTTTCAATTAATTTTTCTGCAAAAGTAATAATTAGATTTCTTCCTACATCATTGTGCTTTGGGAAAAATTCAAAGTGGATTTAATGTTCTTAGCATCTTACTTGTTGGATAACATGAATGTTGCTTTTAGAATAGCACAAACATTTGTAAAGTATACAAGTGTGCTCATATTCATTTTGATTTAGATATTGATATTAATAACATATGCATTTAATTAAAATCCTCAAGCATTTTTAAGGTTTATGCAAATATTTTACACTATCTTTAAGTAGTTGTGCAAAGTAGTTGCCAGTCATCAAAGCATTTTATCAATACAGTGTCTCTTGATGAAAGTCACCCCTTTGTTACTTTTTATTTTTTATATTATTTTATTGTCAAGGTGATGTACAGAGGGTTTACAGTTACATAAGTAAGGTAATAAGTACTTTTCTTGTCGAACTTTTTACCCCCTTCATCATTCTTGAAAGTCATCCCTTTCAATTTTCTTATCCCCTCCCCGAGCCTCCTCAGGAGTACATTTACCTTTGTTGTATTTTCTTGTTTCATTTAGTTGAACTGTATTTCAAGTAATCATTCTACTGCAATGCCCTCTAAATCTCAGACTCATATTACACACTCTTGGAGGATTAACATTGCTTTCTCCTAACTATTGTAATTTTAAGACCCAAGCTTGGGATCAGTGCTTTCTCTGTAGCACTGCAAATCCTCAGGCCAGAGGGAGAGAAAGGACATTAAACCCTTCCCTATCTCCCACAGCATCTGCTCAGAAATAATACACATCTTTTTCACTTGTCTTTCACTTCATTGAAGTGAGGGTCATATACAGGAAAATTTCAGAGATAAGAATAGTAAGTTTGAAGTCTAGAAGAGTTTAAAATTAATGTGTAGGTCCTCATAAGCCACTATGAATTTTTGAGCAGAGCCTTAGTTTGAGAATTGAGACAATGGTTCTCCCTTTGTCTTCTCAAGAGTAGAAAATAGGATGAATCAGATTATAACTACAATGACTATAGGAGCTAGATATATCTCCTATATGATACCTATAGACAACGAAGAAGAGAAATCAAGAGACTCTGGGGTTAATAAAGTATTTAAGAGATCCTGTGAGTTATTCTCTTACCTTCCAGACATAACATTCTACTTAGTCATCATCAGTAGTAGGAAGCAATCTAATTTAATTTCCAGCGGAGAAAAGGCCTTTACCTGGCCCTGAGGAACATCCTACCGGGAGAATTTTTCTCCCATCAGGGAGCCAATGAGGCCCTCAGATTTGAAAACTGACAGGGCCTGTAATTGGTTTCCTCACTCATATAACCACAGCTGTGGTGTTCATTCAAAAACTGCAAAACTAATCCTTTCAGAGCTTTCATATTGGATGTTTGCTTCAAAACATTCAGTGCCAAGCAGTCTATAGATGTTGCTTCACGGGAAAGCAAAGGTTTCTGACCACTGGTCTGAGCACCAGACTAGCTGTCATAAATCCTTAGTTTTCATTCTCAAAAAATGATTTTGTTATCCTTCCCAGGGAGATCATTTCACTCATGGATACCTCCATTTTTCTGCAAGGAAACTGGTGAAGCTTATTGCTTATCTGGACAGTACTTCTAGAGGCTTAAGTGAATTTAATGTTTAAATCATGTTTAAACATGTATTCAGCATCTTTCTGATAAAATACATTTTAAATATACTTTACTGCTTTCGCATGGTAACTAATGGATCCTAGAAAAAATAGGAAACTAGTATGTATTTAAAGAACAAACCCTTAAGATCAATGTATATAAGACCATACTAATTTTCTTGTACTTGTCTGATATATTTAAAAGTAGCCAGGCATGGTCATAGATGCTTGCGGTTCTAGCTACTCAGAAGTGAAGGTGAGAGGAATGTGGTCCAAGGCCCTCCCAGGAAAAAGTGAGCGGGAAACCTAATCTTAACATCAAACTAAGAGATATAGGACTGGAGTGAGAATGACCCAAGTGGTAGAGGGTTTGCAGTCCAAGGCCCCGAGTTTACTTTTAGCTTTAGCATCAATGCAAACTAGGAATACAAATGGTTTATCCTGTAACTTTTAAGTATGGGTGAATAACAGTAGTCTGAAGGAAACTAATTTTTTCTTAATTTAGAACTTCAAAAGCTTGACAGGTCTATCCAGCACCATCCAATCATATTACTAAAACAAATGGAACCATGGTTCCTTCTGAGTTTATTGGTGAAAGATGGAGCCAGTCAGAAGAACTTCTGACATTAAAAATACTTCTACCCACATCCTATATATAATCATATACTATCCTATATAAAAAAGATCTCTTAAATACTTTATTAACCCTGGGGTCTCTTGATTTCTACTTCTCATTATCTATAGGTATCAAATAGGATATATATCTAGCTCCTATCATTGTAGATATAATCTGATTCATCCTATTTTCCACTCTGGGGAAGACAAATAGAGAACCACCTTCTCCACTGTCAATCATTAGAAAAAAATATTGGGTTTAAAAATTCGTATGGTGCCAAGTACTGGAAGCTCATTCCTATAATCCTAGTTATTCAAGAGGCTGAGATCTGAGGACTGCAGTTCAAAGCCAGCCTGGGCAGGAAAGTCCATGAGACTCTTATCTCCAATTAGCCACCAGAAAACTGGAAGTGGTGCTGTGGCTCAAAGTGGTAGAGTACTAGATTTGAAAAAAAGAAGTTGAGGAACAGTACTCAGGCTCCAAGTTCAAGCTCCACAACCAACAAAAACAAAACTTAAAAAATTTAAGGGGCTGGGAAGGTGGCTCAGTGGTAGAGCGCTTGCCTTGCATGCCTGAGGCCCTGGATTCTATTCCTCAGCACCACATAAGCAAAAAGAAAAAAGCCGGAAGTGGCGCTGTGGCTCAAGTTGGTAGAGCGCTAGCTTTGAGCTGAAGAGCTGAGGGACAGTGCCCAGGCCTAGAGTTCAGGCCCCACAACCGGACCCAAAAAAAAAAAATTTAAAAAAATCCAATAGCATACAAGAACTCAGAGGTTTTGAGACGTTTTCTACATAAAGTGAATTTTAAATAATTTTAAAAGAGACAGTAAAGAGTGTTAATGACATGGAGGAAATGGAATTCTCAGACACTGCTGATAGAATGGACAATGTCAATACTTTAAAGAATGCCTTGCAATCGCTCAAAAAGTTAAAGTTTTCAGATGACTCATACTTTATGTACATGAGAAAGGAAAACCAATGCCCACACTAAAATTTTTTCATGAATGCTTGTCATTGTATTATTCTCAAAGAACAAATTGTAGAAAGTATAAAATTGGCCACATCATTACCTGATGAATGGATCGATAGCTATTTTATCCAGTAATTTAGCCATAAAACAAATGAAGTACTACTGCATGCCATAACCTTGTTCATCAACCTTGTAAACACAACACCAAGTGAAAAATGCCAGACAAAAGACTAAACATATTATAATTCCATCTATGTAACATCACCAGAATAGATATTAGTACAATCAAAAGGCTGGGAATGGTAGAATCAGCACTGATATTAGGTACAGGTTTCTTTCTTGGACTGATAAAAATGTCTAACGTTAGTAGTCATGGTTGCATAATTCTGTAACTATGTTGTTTTTTTAAACTGAGTTTTCAAACCCTTCCTAAGGCTATTTTGTACTTTGCAAAATAGATTGCAATTAAAAAGTGCAATTTTTAAAAAGATGATTGCAATAAATAAATTAACTTTCTGATCTAACATTCAAGTAACATTTTTCTTTCTTGCACAAAATTTGTAATAACTTCAATGGCTGTTTCCCCTGCGAGATATTTCATATTAACTTTCTGAGAGGTGAATTTATTTCTTATTTTGCTAAATCAAAAAGAATCCCTCAAGATGAATTTTTCCTTCTCCTGAAATTTGACCTGAACTGGTGGCAAAAGCACACCGGAGGTCACATGGTTTCTAAAATGACAAAGCTTATCCATGGCTGTCTATTTATGTGACCCTTTATCAAGAGCCAACACTATCTCCAAAATAATGGTATTAAGTTTCATAAATGTCAGTGGACAATTAGATGGCCTTATCCAGAAAGCTTTAAACAAATATGCCTTAAAAAATGTAACCCTGAGACCTGAACTGGAATTGAATAGACCTTAAAGCTAAAGTAGACTGGCAGAGAGGAAGTGGGGGAAGACAATCCTTCTGTACATGCTGGCATTCACAGAATGGGACTCCATGGAACATGCTGGCTGGCTTTTAAGTAAGGCACAAGAGACCCATGCAAATGAGACTCACCCCTTCCAGAACAAGGCAGCTCAGAGGTCCCCTGACACTTTCTGGAACTTTCCTCCGCAGAGAGTGGGCAGGATCGTGGATGCTCACACTTCTTCCCGTACCAGCCGGCTTTGCAGTCACATCTTCCACAGTTGCACTGCCCGTGACCTTCACCATGAAATGAGCAGGAGAGCATGCACATGAGGACCACGGAGTTGGAATTCGTTCATAATTTCTGTTCTAACTGGACCTGTGGGAACTGAATCTGACACACGCTATAAAACCTTAAGGCAAAGGCTAGCTTTCTCTCGCACTTGTCAGACACCCTTTTGTATGAATTAATCTTGAAAGGTAAGAAATACATCACCTTAAGATAAATATTTTACTGGGACTGTGTGCCTGAATCTATCAAATTCCAAATTCATGGTTTTCTGGACCCTAAAAGGAGCATTAGAAGGATTCGGCCATGAGAAATAGGAGACACATGAACAAACAAAAAAGCTCCTTTTCAAGCAGGATTTTTTTAACCTAATGAATCATTCAATGGATCTGTATCTGTGGAGGCCCCACAGCCATAGGAAAATTAGAAGCCACAAATGACAAGGAAAAAAAATCTGGCATTTGAAAGAGGTTGCTTTCATTCTTCCAGTTTAATTAAGTTATTTCCTACAGCTCAAAAATTATATTTTAAAGTGTTCAACCTGCTGCTTTCGTAGGCATGGACATCTTGTGAAAGAATCTGATTTCTTTTTTTTTCACCTGTGGGTATTGAGTGTTCCTAATATCATTTATTGAGGAGTCTATCCCTTATCCGTTGCATATTTTTGATGCTTTTGTTGAACATTAGTTGACCATTCAGAAACAAGTTAATTTCTGGACATTTTTCTGTTGGTCTGTGTGCAAGTTTTTATGCTAGAATGATATTCTTTTTACTTTAATAATTTTTTTATTTTGAAAATACCGTACAGAGGGTTTACATAAGCAAGGTAATGAGTACATTTCTTATCAAGCATTGTTGCCTCCTCCTTTGTTTTTCTCCTACCATCCTTTCCCCCCACCTCCACAACTTTGATAACTACAATTCTTTAAAATTATTGAAGCAGGTCATCATGATTCTACTGCATTTTGAAGATTACTTTTCTGTGAAAATGGCATGGAAATTTTGATAGGGGTTTCATTGGTTTCAGTGTACAGAACTGTCACTCCTTGGTTAATTTCTCCCCAAACATATTATTGTGTGTTTTCTTAATTTCTTTTATAGAAAACTTGTTGAAATATAATCTTATCTTCTGGTACCTCTACACTTTATTTCCATTTGCATTTAAGATATACTATAGGCTTAGCCAAGAGACACTTAGCCTAAAGCCAGTAACTTGTCTGGAGTTCACAATCCTTATCAACCAGCCTTGTATATAAGAAAGAAAAGAAGACATATATTAGAGTCCTGGACCCATACAAAGAGAGTTTGTAAAGAATTGTGAGGAGAAATGGTTTCATCAAGTTAAGAATCTATTTTTTTCAGACATTAGGCTCAGCTCATAGCTTCTGTTATCTACAGAGTAAAGCTGGTCAAATGACAACCTCTTTGAAGTTCAGTTTCTTCAGTTTATCCATTTATGTGGAGCACCTTATATACGTTAATGGACATGAAAAAATGAACTACTGTTATTTTTATACATTGGAGTCCATGCATGTAATCAAGAATGGTAATTTCAACTGAGCTATTTATTTACTTATTTATTTTGGTGGTAGTTGTGGGGCTTGATCTCAGGGTCTGGGCACTGTCTCTCAGCTCCTTTGCTCAGGACTAGCACCCTACCACTTTGAGCCACAGCTCTACTTCCAGTGGTTTGAGTAGTTCACTGGTGGTAATAGTCTCACAGGGACTTTTTTCCCCAGCTGGCTTTGAACCACCAGATCTCAGCCTCCTGATTAGCTCAGATTACAGGCGTAAGCCACCAGCACGCAGCCAACTAAGCATTTTAAAACTCATAATAAATATCTAGATCTGCATCGTTACAAATACAAAATAGAAAAGCAGATTTCTATCATTGCAGCAAAAATCTATATGAATTCTAAAGAAAATGAAATACCATGTTTTACAAGTATGCCAAGTACCATGGTAAGTGGTTAAAACCCATGCTATTTTTTTCCTGTGGTATCTGATCTAATGCATATCATGCAAATTAAAATTTTCTTTCATTAAAGACTGGCTCTTTATTATATCAACATTTCTTGAGATTCGTAGTTCTATCTTCTGAGTTTAAAGACATTGGTCAATACATCTGCAGAAGCTTTTCATCCTTCATTAACCTGGCTCATTATAGGGCAAATCACAAAATTACAGGTCAAAATAGAGTAACATATTAGAGATCATTTAGTGAACACTGTTTATCATACATTAAATTCAATTTAATGAATATTTATTTCAATTTCTCTTCTGGACTTACTAATCTCTCAATATCAATTAACTATACCGAAGATGGGGAGAATGAGTTATTCAGTAGGGATATAATTAAGATGAAGAAGAGTTTAGGAATGAAAAAATCTACTTAACATTAAAACCTTTCGACTACCCCAACTTATATCAGGGTCTTTCATAAAGGGCATAAGATATCTGTCTTTCACTTATATGTGCTGCTCCTCTGTCTCAGCCTGAGCTCAATTTAATTTGTCTTTCACATGGAGAGAACTAAAAGAAGAATATTTTTTCACATCGATCTAAAATATAACACTTCAATGCTAGTTTGTCAAATCTGTGTATATTTTCAGCCTGTGGGAATTAATTTCATTGCTTCTAACAAGTATTCCTTAAACTGTGTAGGCAGAAGATCAACAAAGTAGAGATGAAAGCTATAGAATATTGTTGTTTATCACTGATCTCAAACATCAGAAAAATTAAACATAAGAGAATTATTTCTAAAAGACCTATGTGCATGCACTAGTACATAAACATGCCCACACACACACACACACACACACACACACACACACACACACACACACACACACATGCACAGTACTAGAAGACCACATAATGAGTATAGTTGACATAATCTGCATGCTGTAAATGGTAATGCAGTCCAATCTACAGCACATGGACAAGAAAGGTTTCAGCGTGATCAGTCATCCAGTGGTCATGGTGAGAAGTCACAGACTGACCTTCTCTGACTGTTCTAACAATGGTGTGAACACCAAAACATTCTTTATTTGCAATCACTGAGCTTTTTTTTTTAGTTAAATTATCTAAACTCCACAAATATTAGTCCAGTACAAATGTAAATGAATCTATTCCAGACAAAAACACTTCTGCTGGAAAGAATATTTCTTCTTCATCTTTTGTTTTTAATGATGGAAAAAATCCTGTTAATGGAAATCTGGTGTTTGCAAGTTGCTATTTACAAAATAATGTGTTGATCATCAATAGAGAAAAATATTTAGGGAATGATTAGATGTATCTCGCATTTGTTATTTTTAGAACTCTATTTAATATATTGATTTTATTTTCAAGATAATACAGGCTGAATATACTTAACATTTCTCTTTAGTTTCTTTTTCCTAAATGCTTTGGTAACCCACAAGGAATAATTACCCCACATTAGATAGTTCTGGAAAATGATTCCATTTTCCAACCTAATGCAACACGAAGTCAAAACTACCTTTATATATTTTTTTTAAATCGTTTTGGCAGGCAGGACAAGCTAAAGGCATTGAAGGTCACAGTGCAGCAAATGTTTCCAGTTATGAGATTTGAGGAAATAGACCAAGATTGGTAAGCAGCCATCAGGGATGAAGGCATTATTTCAGGATCAGGAAGTAAATTGAGTTCAGCAAACAGAACAGTTGGCACAAAATGGGATGGCTGGCATCCCCAATGTGTCTACACTTAAATACTGTCCACAGTATCTCCCTGTGTATATATGTGTATTCATATACATCTAAGCAAAGGAGTCTTGCGTGTTATTTATGGATACACATACATATAGATATACAATGGATATACATACACACACACACACACACACACACACACACACACACACTATGGATGATAAACCAGAAATAAACCTGATCAATTTCGAGTAGGCAGGTAACACACTTTAGTGCAATTATACCCCAGTACCCATCACATACTAGTAGCAAAATATTTATATTTGGGTGTAATATGGATGGAACAGGAGTGAAAAAAAATGAGAATGCCAACTTACGCACCAACTTAAACTAATCCTCTAGGAGATCTCTCTTGGACTTAAATAAGACCGATAGTCTCAGGAAGGCATGAACAGAGGCTAAAAATAAAACTGCATTTCATCTGAGCTTTATTACATCCCAGCCTTGCAAGAATCGCTGGAGAATACTGATGCAGTTGGGTTCCTTCTGTCTCATAACACAAAGGCATTAACATACTCAATAATCCACTGCATGGCATTCTTCCTACAGAGCATCTTACAGTGGTAATTAGGAAACCTGTGAAGTCTAACAGCTCTCTAAGCACATGATATAGAATCCCACAGATTTAGTGAAGAAATCCTCCTGAGATTGGTTCCTGCCCCAGATCCTCAAAATGTTCAGAAAAGATTAGTTTTTAAAAGAAGTTTGACCATGGAAGGATGGAAAAGAGCTCTTCCTCACCAGAACAAGTAAAATTGAACAGTCTTATTTGCATCACTTGGAGATTGAATTTGTTGCATACTTCTGTGTTTTCAGATGCTACTTGATAGCAGGTTGAGTTGTGTCAAGGTACTTAATTTACCTAAAAGTGTTTCCTTTTCTGTAAAACTGTAGATAATAATCTCTACCTCCTTGTGTTAGTATGGAAATAAAATGAAATGAGTTGTTTGAAAGGACACAGTCGGAGTCTGGCAGAGTAGGAGCTCGGTTCATGTGGATTTTTTTCTTTCCTAAACATCACTCTAAATGTTGGGAGATGGGCTGGGGGTTGCGGGGGTGCGGGGCTGGCAAGTTCAACCCTTTTGAATCAACCCAAAGTAAAATCACAATTATAGATCAGAGTCTTATGGCTCAGATCACAGTCCATTGTCCCCAAAGCTTCCTTGCCTTTCTGGCTACACCTACAGCATGGCTGCCATATGTAAAGGGTGAAGTCTCCTATGGCCAGATATTCTCCTGACCAACTCCACTGGCCACGAGGTCATAGCTGCCCAATTGCTTGCCTACCTCTCTCTGGAATCTCATAGGGTAGAGAAGAAATAAAATGTAGGGAAAAGGAAATCAGGGCAGAGAGGAGAGAGAGGGAATGGCTGAGGTGGAAAATTCAGCTCCAGGAAGGACTTGTTAAAGTCACTACACTACCTTAATGTACAGTAGGTCTAAGAATAACTAGCTCACAACAACAACGATGAGCTTATCAAAGCACCAAAGTGCTAAGCTATCTCTTCATGGTTTTTTGACCCTGAACTGTCACAAAATATAGAGTAATATGTAACAGAAATATGTTACAACATTTTTGAAACTCTTCATTGATATTAAATTCTAGATCATACTCAGATTAATTTGCATATAATCCTAATGAAGAGATATTTTATAATATGTCACCACAGTTATCCCAATGCACAAGCCTGTCATCAGCTCTGCTAGTTTTGTCTTCACAGAGTTGAGTTGAGCTGAGATCAGGAGCTAGTGGTTCACTGATGAGCAGTTCGACTGATTAACTTTGAGGGAGTGGGTAGGTTTCCATCTCAAGCCTTTGTCAACTGTATGCATTTTCCAGCAGTGTCCTAGCTCACAAGTTTGTTAGCAGGAGCACTGAAAATATCTAATGTTTTACACTGCAATTTCTTTCATGGTATCTTTAAGAATCAGAATGAACCCTGCACACAGGCACATGAGTATCTTGTTATTGGAAAATAGGAATCCAGGGCAAACTTACCTGAACAGAAGTCATCAGAATATCGGTCATAGACAGGTCTGCAATCCCTCTCATCACACTCACAAGTGTCCCCATGAATGTCACCCCAGTCCCCTGTGGGATCCACGTCATGGCAAGAACATTCGCCACACACACAAGTCCCTGCATGGGAGAAAGGAGACAAGAAAAGTGACCCGTCCCATTGTTTTCCTGTCGCTTCCTTCCTATTGGAAAAATCTACATAGACAGACAAAATATTCTAAAAAGGAAAAATAAACACCATCTAACAGTGATAGAGGAGATTCCTGTTAGCAATCGTTAGTTTCCCACATAGGTACCAGTTGGATTAAAGAATCAAATGGAGCTGGGCGCTGGTGGCTCATGCCTGTCAACCTAGCTACTCAGGAGGCTGAGGGTTGAGGATCACGGTTCAAAGCCAGCCCTGGCAGGAAAGTCCGTGAAACTCTTATCTCCAACAAACCACTAGAAAGCTGGAAGTGGTGCTGTGGCTTAAGCTGTAGAGTGTTTGTGCCTTGAGCTGAAGAGCTGAGGGACAGCACCCAAGCCCAGAGTTCAAGCCCCACCACTGCCAAAAAAAAAAATCAAATGGACAAAATTAAACCATAAAATAAGAACAAAATTCCTCTTTGTTCAAAACACCAAAAACAGTATTACTTAACTACATACAAATCTGAAATTGGGGTTGAGACCAAAACAGCTGAAACAAATGTTTCCTATGCATGTAAAAGAGGAACACTTCCATAACTATATAAATAATTCTTGAGAATTTAAATACACAAAAGATATCTAAAGTAAAATAGGTGAAGTTGAAGAACAATTTCATAGAGACTAATGATCAACATGAAGATGGTTGACCACAGCCTTCCAATGTTATTAAGGACTGGGAATGAGAGCAATTTAAAACAATAATGAGGTAGAGTTATTCTGGATGTTATATTGTCATGAATCAGAGAGACGCTGGAATCGAGAGCTGCTAGGGATGAGGGAATTATAGGCATTCTCTGGTTTCAAAGTGCAAATTTTTAGGGCACACCATCTTGTGCCACCTCATATTTTGGACATATACTACTATTTGGAGGAACAAGCTACTTCAATTAATGTATCCACAAAAAAGGAATATCCACAGAAGTACCTGTTCTGGAATACAAGGTCTGATTGTATTTATGTTATTAAAAAGCTACGGATGGAGCCTGCACTTGTTGGTGTTGGAACATGAGTGAGAAATTAGTGTAGCACCAATTAATCTGTAACATGGACTTAAGCACAGTCATTAAGAGTAATAATTAGGTAATGATCTCAATTTCTTAAATTTTCTGAGACTTGCTTTATGACCCAGAATGGGGTCTGTTTTGAAGACTGTCCAGTCGGCTACCAAGAATAATGTGTAGAAGTTCAATTCATGCACATCAATTTGACATTTCATCCATGCCTTCCATTACTTACAATTAAGACATGAGAGTTTTCTGAATGCTCTCTGTGTAATTAGATGTGCATGCTGTCTGTGGATCTGTTAGTCAAGAGACATTTAGTAAAAGTATCCACAGACAAGACTTTGCCTTTTAGCTGGGCTATGTCATTTCTGGATGGTTGCCGAAGAAATTCCTCGTGTTAACTATTTGCTCAGCGAAGCTTAAAGAATGATAACAACTGTCTTACCTCTCCATTTTCTACTCAGGAAGGTACAAGAAAGAGAAGACCCTTGGCAGAGTAAATGTTGTTTTAGATCAAAGCAAATGTCTCTAGGAGATGCCTTCCTCCCACACTGAAGGAAGCACAGAGGGGTGTTAACAATTAAGAGCTGTGTTTGTCGCCAATGATGTAGAAACATGTATGAATGACACACCTCTGTTGCTGCAGATTTGGCCATCTGGAGATGTGCATCTTCGCTTGCTTTCCCAGGGGGTGATGTCGCACTGGAATTCGCATTTATCTCCATGCCAACCAGCCTCGCAGTAACAGTTTCCACAGTAACACTTCCCGTGGCCTTCCCCCAAAAGAATTTTATATAGTAAAGAAAAAAGCAACTTTTCAAAGCAGCATTAACTTTCTGCCTCTTTGTGATCATATGCACCTTTGGAAATGATATCAAGGCTCTGAGTACCTTACTTAAAATAATCAAATTATATAGTTACTTCTCAAAACATCATAATCGAGCCTATAACTACATGACTCTATAAACAAAGCAAGCCAACATGTTGATAGGAAGCTGATTCAAATCAAAGTATTTTTTTAAAGAAATGACATGAATCATTGTGCAAGTCTATTCCTCTACTCTCTCGGATGTATACATCAAACTCAAATATATACTGGCCTTCATTCTAAGGGTATTTCTTGAATTAGAAATTAAATTCATTTATTTGAAATCAAGTACTGAGAAAGCAATGGTGCATATTTACTTAGCTACACATTATTAATCACTGGACAATTTTTAAACCAGAGGGAATATTTTATCATTTCATTCAGCTGTTCCCCACAAGCTGCTGTGTTCTACCATGTAGAAAAGAGGCTCTCCACTAAATCCGTGTCTGGTTCTGATTTACACTAATAAAATACTGAGAATCCTACACAGGAACTTGATCCAATTCTCAGCTTAGGGCCAAGTGACTACAAATGATACTGAGAAGTACTCTTCATTTAGGGTCTAGATCCCACCCTTTAGTATCCACCTCCCCATAACCTGTTAAGTGTTCATACTTGTATCTAATCAAGTTACCTGTATTGAACTATCACATACATCATCCATTCAAGTCTAGCCAGTTTTCTGCAAATTTTCCAAAGATGGCATTTACCCTCAGATTCACTTCCTGTGCCCTCTCCTTAATAGTTATGACACCCAAGGATGAATGAAAGCCCTTGTGCCTTGGATTCTTTCTAGTCAAGATGTTCTGTTTCGTAGGCATTTGCATCTTCTACACTGGTGACTAAATGATTGGTTGTTCCAACTCTCTTCTACTGAAGCCATAATTCTATGGAATTTTAAGAACCCATGGAAAAATGACAGTGCTTCCATTTTTCAATTGCTTAAAGGCATATTTTCATTCTAACGTTATGGCATCACTAGCCAGGGTGAAGAACATTAGCAGGACCAAGGATTGAGTCTCCTACTCAGTTCATGATTTGATGAGATACATGCATGACCGAGACAGACAGAGAGGAAGAGTTATAGAGGAAAAAATGCGCTCATGCACTTAAAAGTATGACTTCTAAGTGAATTCCAACTCAAATACCGCTCATTAATTTCATAGACAATGATCATTCCTACAACAAATTTTTATTTTCAATTTTTATTATGAAATTGTTCATTTTTTTATCTTTGAAAGGTCTCTAATGGTGCACACAGCAAAATCACTCTAGTGTCTCACCACAAGCCTCGGGAACTTGAAGATTGCATTGGAAAATAGCATGACTGGGCATTAGTTGTTTGAGATTCAATCAATTTCTTACACTGTACCATTTATTACCTCTAGAGTTTTAGGATATACATATATATATGTATGTATATATATACATCCTGTTTATATACATATAAATGTATATATGTAAGGCTTACCATAATACCAACCAATATATAAACCTATGTACTTCACACTCAAGCTGTATTTTTTTTTTGTTGGTCATGGGGCTTGAACTCTGGGCCTGGGCACTGTCGCTCAACTCTTCAGCTCAAGACTAGTGCTCCTCCACTTGAGCAATAGCACCACTTCTGGCTTTTTCTGCTTATGTGGTGCTGAGGATCGAACCCAGGACCTCATGCACGGGAGGCAAGCACTTTACCACTGAGCGACCTTTTCAGCCCACACTCAAGTTCTTTGTATATCTATAAATTCAATTGTGAATTAGAGGTTTCCAAGGAAACATTAAAATAGGGGCCAATAAACAAAATGGGTTTGTGCAAAACTACACCTACATGCAGAGGTGAACAAATTACACTCATATCCATAAATCTCACATGGAAAATACTGTAACAAGAAACATTGGGATAATTAATATAAAATATAAATTTCAGGAAAGCATTCTTCATGCAATATCCATAATTCTAATTCTGTTTTATGGAAACAGAGAAGAAAAATCTCCATTGATGAGATGTATATTCATCTCTCAACAGAGTTTTTTATATGAACAACAAATGAAAAAATCTACAATCCTACCCAATGTGACTGTCATATAATGTTTCCTGGATCCTGATGTCTGTGCTCAGAGACCTTGTACCATCAAATTGCCTAGGCCCCTAACAAATGGATATAATAAGTAATAAGAATGAGATTTAAACATTTCCTGTTGTATTTTTTCAAATTTTATATTTACAAATAAAAATAGACTTTAGTTTGGTGGAGTGACTCAGAACATGATCGACCCAAAGTGTGTTCCTTTTTTTTTTAACCTGTATCAATTGAAAGTGAAATCTCAAGGGTATAAATATTTAGTGATTGTGGATAGATTCATCTATTTGTTCTAATTGCTTTTCACTGATACATTAAGGAGAAAATAGTGAGCAGTATCTCGCTGAAGTCACTGGCCTGAGAAAGAGAGAGGGAGAGAAAGAAAGAAAGAGATAAAGATAGAGAGAGAGAATGAGAGAGAGAGAGAGGTGTCTGTGTCTGCCTGTGCCTTTGTGTATGCACCAGTCCAGTACTGGGGCATAAACTCAGGTCCTGGGTGCTGTCCCTCAGCATTCCTTGAATCTGGCACTCTACCACTTGAGCCACAGCTCCATTTCCAGCTATTTGGTAGTTAACTGGGGACGAGAATCTCACAAACTTTCCTGACTGGCTGGGTTTGAACCATGATCCTTAGATCTCAGCCACCAAACCAGCTAAGATTACAACATGAAGCCACTAGCTCTGGGCAGGAGAATTTTGTGTGTGTTTGTGTGTGTGTGTATTATTTGATACTAGTATATTGTTCAACCAGGAGACAAGACAGAAAGAACAGGCAAGTCTACAGCAAAAGTGTCCATATAACTCTACTACAGGAAAGAAGCAAGGTAAAAAAAAGGGGGGGAGGGGGGTAACTGGTAAGATACTAGTGACACTTTGCCCCTATTTGTCAGTTAGTGATCTTTATCCCTGTTTGTCCCTGATCGTTCTAAGGAAGATACTTCTCTAAGATGACTATTTTCCTGCATGCAGGACAAACTGCCATGGACCAGGTAATAACTCTTATGTTCAATATCAGCAAAGAAAAATTGGCATAGATAAAACAATTCTTACTGTACCCTATGCTCATTTTGCTGAGCCAGTAAAAGCTGCAAATGGAAATTCTGAGCAAGGATTTATGGACAGAATAGGAAACTACAGGTGGTGAAGAGGGATTCTCATAGAACTCTAAATACAAGGCACTGATGGAATTCTGAACAGTAAGGGATCAACACATCCTTAGTGTCAGATAGACATGAGTCCCTGTTCTACTGTAACTGGTAGAATTACCCTAGGTAAACCACCCAAGATAACCAAGTTCTAGCTTCTACATCTAGTTGTGTATATAAAACTCTGCAATAATTCTTACCCAAGAATAATGTGAGATACAACAGAATCAGTGTAAAGCATTAATTATAGTATTTGACACCAGCAATCTATTGCACCGATTGGTACAATAGAAAAACAGATTGAATAACAGTGATGCATAAAGGTCATGGAAAGTGGAGACAAGTAAACTTGAGGATAATAATTCCATTCAACATCAGCATCCGTAGTAAGACAAGGCTTATGGTTTACAAACAATGTAGTTAAGAGACAGGAAGATGACTTAGAAAAACACTGGATAAAGCAAGCAACAAAGATGGCATCTCAGTGACACTTCAAAGCTATGTAGTTCGCTTGTTGCAATCTGGTTGAGCCTTTTTTCCAGGGACAGTCTGGTTTCACATTCAAAAAGAATCATTTCACATTCTCTATAAATGCAGCATTTTCCAAATAAACACAGGCTCAAACTAAATGAGTTCATCTAAACATAAATTTTTATAAAGATTAGAATAAAATGAAGTAAGTGGGGAAAAACCCAGATTAATTATTCATTTTCACGGTTGTTATACATACCTCCACAAATTTCTTCTGTTTCATCATCTATGCATTCTCTATCATCACATTCGCAAAATTTACCATAAACCAGTCCATTTCCATCTGAATCGTCACACTTACATCTGCCACAGTGACATGTACCTAAACCATTGAAATGGAGAAAAAAACCAATGCACACATATAAATCACAATTAATGAAGTTTTATCTTGTTGCTTTTAAGAGGATAGACAACTCAGGTCCATTTAAAATTCTAATTATGTACTTCTGTGGGTATGATGAGATAGAGAATAATCCACTCCTTTTGGAAATTACTGTGGCCCAGCAATTATATTTTCTATCATCACATAGCTATTACTATTGACCTCTGATAGTTTAATGAATGTAAATGTGACCTTGACCTTCCAGAGTGCTGAACCACTTCCCACAAGTGATGCACGAATGAATATCTTCTGATTACACCTGGGTCTGAAGTGAACTAAAGCAGAAAATTCTAAGCTTGTGAGGCAAGTACCCTTGCTTATCTTCCCCACCAGTATTTATTCATTGCTTTGCACAGTGTTTGAACATATTATTTATATAATAAATATTTGTGGAAATAATTCATTAACAAATGAATAAATGAAAAAAATTTATAAGTCCCTGATAATCTCCCATTCCCAGTATTCACTGATACCCTTGTTCTAATAGGACCACAGTAGGTTTGCTTAGACAAAGCTTCCTGGGACCTCAACCCAATTTCAAGGCAGCTCAGAGGGATACAGACTGAAGTCATACTGTCTGCTACCACAGACACATATTAATCCAAGTCTGAAGGCTCAGCTACATCCCACAAGAGTGATTTCACTGACAGGCATGTAGCATTCTAATGATACTGAGGATGTTTACTTGAGGAAATTTTTCTTTTATATATATTCTTTTCAAATTTTAATTGATATAGCAATCTTCATATAAAAAGACTTTTATCTGTCATGGAACACCACCCTTGACTCAGGAACTCTAATAGGAGACAAGTCAACCATAACCCTCCTTTCAGTATTTTATGTGAGTAGAATTAAATGTGCTAAAATAGATAGTGATGTGAACGGTGTTGCAAAAGCACATAGCAAGTGGAGTTGGCTGAGACCTGGAGGTCAAAGGGCATCCCCAAGGAAGTAGCTGAGAAAAACAGAGCCAAGCACAATACCCAACCAGCTTAGGAAAAGTAAGATGGTGGAGAGAATCAGTTCCAGCAAGAGAATATAGCACACAGTCAGTAAAAGGACACAAACGAATGGACCAGGCCAAAGAAGATAGAGAATATAATGTAAAAGTGACATGAAATGAATAAGATAAAGGGGCAGTTTATGGAAGTTTTATATGTTATGTGAAAGATACCTAAGTTTGCTGCAAGAATGGGAAGTCACAGAAGTGTTCTCAGCAAGGAGGTCACATGATGGGGGGACTCAGCTGTCACATAAACAATGAGCTGAAATGAATAAAAAGCACATGCAAGAAAATGAGTCAAAAGACTCCTACATTTGTCCTCAGGAAAGAAGACAGAGGCTCAGCGAATGGTGGCACTGAGTTTAGTCAGCATACACATTTTCAGGAACATTTTCACAAGAAAGAACAGACAGAATTTGGTGACTAATTGGGTGTGACAAATGAAGGATGGGGAGGAACCAAAGACCCTACTTGTCTTGAGTGACAGGATACTAGCAATTCTGTCAGCAGTACGTGGGGAAGAGAAAGGCTTAGGATCAAGGCAGATTTGCAGTCAGATTCAGATTTTTAACTCTCATCATCTGTGCACTTTTGAGGCTGTGGTTATTTTTCACCTTTTATTCCCTGATTCCAATCTGCAACCCATCTTTAGTTCATACAGTGGCTGCAAGGATGAAGTAGTAATTTGCCCACCAGGCATCTTTCTAAACACACTGCCATGTTCAGTTCAGAAGAGGCATTCAGAAAAGCTGAGATTATTTTCTTTGCATTAAGATGCTAAGCAAACTCACTGGATTTCAAATATTTTTCTATGGATTTACCCTGTACTTATAGACCCTAATAATATTCTCCTTCCAGTGCCTTCTGTATTATTCTGTTACCCAGATTACTAGAAAGTTGCTATAATTTGAAAGTCTTTCTCTCACAAGTACCTGTAAATGGTGACTTTGACTTTATTATTTTTGTTTTTTTTTTGCCAGTCCTGAGGCTTGTGAACTCAGGACCTGGGCACTGTCCCTGAGCTTCTTTAGCTCAAGGCTAGCACTCTACCACTTGAGCCACTACACCACTTTTGGCTTTTCCTGTGTACATGGTACTGAGGAATCAAACCCAGGGTTTCATGCATGCTGGGCAAGCACTCTACCACTGAGCCACATTCTCAGCCATCCAAAATGGTGAATTTTACAAAACTTGAGTTTGTTATTTTTAACCTTGAGATTGAACAGTCATGTGAATTTGACTTCTATTAAAGTTGAGAATTATTTTAACTCATAAAAGTTATCTGAAATCTAATACTTCAATTCCTACTATTGCTTTATTCATTTTTTCTATCACCCTTATTTTTATTTTCACATCGTATTCTGTCTCTCTTTCACCTGCATATCTAGTCATTTAACTTCCTTGGGAGCTATGATATTAACAGAGAGCTATAGGAGATAATAATATGAAGAAAATTAATTAAACCACAGATTAGAAGAATAACACAAACATAGTAAGTATACATATATCAATATGTAGTATGAATATTGAGTAGATATGTGTTTGTAAACATCCCTGTATATAAACATGTATTCCAAAATCATATATAATACATATTGTATATATGCATATCTATATAAAAACAGAAGATATATAATAGTAACACAATAAATTAGCGTCAAATAATGAATAGAAGTGATAAACCTCAGTGTGAAAGAGGAAAGACATAGGGCAGGAGTAATTTCCTGAGTTGGTATGTCATACATGGTACAGAATTCCAAGTGGAAAGGAAGAAAAGTTTTGCTCTTGAAGAAAATGGCTAGGATAAGGAGTAAGGAAGTTGTACAAAAGAAAACCTGTGAAGAGTCTGGTTTGAATTTGGAGAAAGGGTAAGTTGAATGTGATCAAGAATATTGATTAAGCAACCAGGCACAAGAGGCTCACACCTGTAATCTTAGCTACTCAGAAGCCTGAGCTGTGGAGAATCATAGACTGAAGAAGTCCAGGCAGAAAACTCCACAAAACTCTTTATCCTGTTTACTTAGCAAGAAGTCAGGGCTAAAGGTAGGGTATCAGCAATAAGCAAAAGCTTCCAAGGGAGAGTATGAAGTCCTGAATTCAAGTCCTGAATTCAAGTGTTAATATCAGTACAAGCACACACACACACACACACACACACACACACACACACACACATACACACACACACACACAGCATATTGGTTAATGATTTTAGATATTTCATGGGAATCCAGTAGTCTGCTATGATTTAGAAGCAGTGTAACTTGGTTAGGGCTGTGTACACAGAAGTTGCAGGGAAAATATATTTTTTTTTCTTCTGTGAAAATGGGAAGGAACAGAGTCTTCCTCCAAATTCTACAACTCCTCACTGATGTCTCCCACTGGAGGACTGTCTCATCTACACATGTAAACCATTTCTGGCTGGTGTGGGAAGTTTACAACTGTCAGTGACTTCCTGTCTCACCATTCAGTGGAATTCACAGGAAGGGCATATGGGAGCCCAGGCAAATGCGCCAGACTCCTGCGCTCATGGTGTGTCATGCTGCTTCTCTTGCTTGGTTGCCAATCAACTCACTCTCTACAACTGATCTTCTGAGTTACACTAGTTATTTTAGCTCTGTTTTTTTCATACTGCCTAATATAGCTGGCTCTTTCTAGGATGATTTACCAAACTGGAACAGCAGGCAGATTCATGAGCCAAGACACAGAGGCACTGAAGCTTCACTTTGATCACTACCTTGTCACTGTTCTTGGCCCCTTAGGGAGTTAGCTTCTTCCCAGCTCACCTCACCCTACCTTGTGCACTTTTACCACCTATTCCTCTTCAGCTCCAAGCTGCTCCCAGACAAGTCCGTTGTAATAAGGGACAGACCAGACAGGACCCATGAGCTAAAAAGATTTGAAAGGAGCAATTCTGAACTAGGGTAGCGCAGAGAGACATCAGAAGAATAGACTGAGATTGCCAAAATAGACTCTAATGGCTTAGATACTGAAATGATAAAGAAAAGATGGACCATTCTTTGGCCAAGAAATCTTTCTCCTAAATATACAACTCTAAAGATTTATAAAGGTGCAGATGATGGAGCCAAAATGGCTATATGCAGTTTTAAAATACAGGGAACTTTAAATGCCTAAGCATAGAAATTGGCAGAATGCATGATGTCCACACATAGAATTCAGTACTGTGGGTTTTTTTTTAAAGAACAAAAAAAATTGTTCTGAATGGAGAGGAAATGAAGTCTACCAGTAGCTAGTGTTAAGTGGTGAAGACAGACATCAGAAGTAATGTGATGCAATTAAGGGAGGGGAAGGCAGGCAGAATAATAACTTACCGATATACGATTTACTTTTACAAGAAGAAACAGATCAAGCAGAGAGCAACAGACGGATTAACTATAATGCTGACTGACAGAAAGTAGGGTACAAGGATTTTCTTTAACCAATAGAATGATAATTCCCTAAGTATATATTTTTGCATTTGTTGAGTCTTAGAATCTTGTTTAGATTCATACATTATAAAATATAGTAATTAATAGTGGGAAAGAAGGAAGGAGAAAAGCCTAAAGCTGACAGCAATCCAAAATAATCAACTCCATTTTATTTCTAATGAGTACATAACCACCAACAGAAAGACGATAAAAGGAATCTAAGTAACATGAATACAGCATTTGCCTATCTATTCTAATTTCAGGCATTATTAGAGGGAAATGAGCACAGTGAATAGGTGGACTGGAGACAAATTCTAGACTTTTGAGATAGATTTGTTTTTCATTTAGTTGTGTGTGAAGCCAGTCTAAAAACAATTTTAGATTCAATACATGGTTGAGAAAATAAATAAATATTTGATGCTCTCAGAATTATCATTCAAGTTCAAAATGAGCAGCATTTTACTTTTAAAAAAGGCATGGCAGTTATTTTCAATTGTCAGTACTATAAAGCAGAAATCTCTGAAAATAATCCAGATTAAAGAAATTAGAAAGAGATGATAAGTACCTATGACATAATCCCTAGATTAGATCATCTAAAGAGGGGGAAATGATCATGAAAGACATTATTGAGTCAGCCAGAAAAGCTGAACTATGGATGTCAGATTGCAGAAAAGTATTTATCATCACCTTAAAAAGACAGACAGTGTGTTCTGTATTTTGTGAAACATGTTTTATCATCTAGCCAAACGATTCTGTACTTTTTTCGCCCCCGCTAAGATGTGTTAATGTGGTGAACCACAATCCTTAACATGAATACATTTTAGGTTTGTTAGACTCGCCCTTGTTTGGTTATAGTATATTTTATTTCATATCTTATTTTTAGTGGCAAAAATAATAGTATGGTACATAAACAGAGAATTCAAATCCAAAATAAAATTCAAGCCTTATCACTAAATATATTTGCAAAGAATGAGGTCTTTCAAGATTAAAACGGACTCTAGAATGGGATGTGTATATGTTCGTTTATACATATGCCTTGGTATCCATGAGTGTCATGAATTATAGTGAGAAAAAAAATATCCCGAGGAGGGAAAAGACTGCAGAGAAATGAGGAGAATATCCTGAATAAAGAAAATGACCTGACTGCTCAGACCATGTGCCCGGTTACCTCACAATCCTGTCACAACTGGCCCTGGGTATCTACCTGAGAGCTACTGGCAAGACACTGTTGTGGAGTTTAATCTACAGGAAGAGACTTGTTCAAAAAGTCACTCTCTTGCCTTTAGCAAGCCCAGCAATGGCTCACACCCATGAATCCACATTAAGTTCACTCAGGGAGATTAAATCCCCACAAAGTCCAAAACAACTGAAGTAGAACCTCAGGGTAAGGACATGAGCTTTGACATTTTCTTAGTTTCCCCTTGGGAGTCGCAAGTTCAATCATGGCTGAAGAAAACATACTTTTAGGTTCCACGTGTCCAAATGTTAAGACTATTAAATTATAGTAACATTGCCTAGATACCACTGAAATTTAAAGTGCAACTGTTTTGTTTTATATTGTTATGCTAATTAATCCCAGCAACATCTCTATAATTTTCAAGAAGTATTTCTAAGCAGCTCATATAAAATATTCAAATATTTTAGTCAAACAAAATATTTTGTTGTCGCTTATATGCCTCAATGTGCTTCATATCCCATACATCTGACACTTGAATCAAATTAAAAAGAGTTTGGTTTTATTTGATGTTGAGGTTACACCATTGGTTGTTAACAGAAAATAATTCAGTCAGTTTTATAAATCCTTTTAAAAAGATTTACCCCAGTATTCAAAATCATAAATTCCAATTTACATAAATGTTGTCAAGTGCTGTTCCCAGGGCATTTTCTGCTCCAAAGATGCATTTGAAACAGCTGGAGAATATCAGACTTGCGAGTCTCAGCAAGATCATATTTTTCCCTATTTTTTATCTGAATTTCATTTCTAAAAATTATACTCAAAAAGCAATCTCACTCAGAGTTTCCACATTTCTCCAGCCTACATATTTCCATTAAGAAAATCCACAATTTTGATTTCACTTAAGGATATTTTTAGGATGTGATTCTTACCTGCATTTGAGCAGATGATGTCTTGAGAATTCTTGCACATTTGGTTGCTTCTCTTCCTTGTCAGCTCACAATTCGTCGGGTACTGGCATGCGTCCCCAGACCATCCTACGTCACATTTGCATCTGCCACAGTCACACGTGCCATGGCCTGGGAATCATACAGCATTCAAATTGTTTATCAATGAAACACATAATATAAGAACAACTTATGGATGGTATTGGTTCAGAACTGAGTTACCTATCACAGGCTTAAAACTTGAAGTAACTGACAGGTATTGCTATTCTACATACTGAAATGTATAGAATTTTAATCACTAACCAATTTTGAGCAATGATTATACAACTGTTATAATAACTTATAGAGACATCGGGAAGATTCATCAAGAATTCATTGAGTCAGACAGTCAAAAACTCATCAGTAATAATATTCCACCTACCACAAGTATTTGAGACAAAATACCATTAGAAATTAGATCTATTTAACTATACTTTATATAGAACATAAAACCCCAAACTGAATAAGGAATCTTACATGAAACTCTACTAAACTCAGCCAGGGCTTCCTATTTACTTGAATTAAATATGTGATGACATTTTATGGAAATATTAGTTATTGCCCATAGGATAAGATTGATACAAAAATAAGTATATGTTTTGTTTCTTAAGGAGGAAGTTGGGTTCAAGAATCAAAATGGTAAGAACCATAACCATCTGTTTCCACAGAACTGACCTGATCTTCAGTGCTCTCACCTGTCATTTTTTAAGCAATGATATTTAAACAGTTATGAAACACAAACTTTATTAACTCATACTTGATTAAAGCTCACTAATGCTTTTGTTAGTGCCACAATAGTTTGCCACAAGTACAAAACACACACGGTATTTGTCTCTTTTCAAAGAACCTACAAACTTCAAAGTCAAGGCCAATATACCAAGAAATTGGTGTTGTCATTAATCTGCAGTGTTTTTGCCTCCTATGGAGCTGAACAATATAGTCTGTGCCTTACAGGAATAAGACAAAAACTCTCAGGAATTCTTGACCTTTAACTGAGCCTTGAAAGTTGAGCAGAGGTTGAACTGGTTGTAGGTAACATGCTGTTAAGATGCCAAGATAGTAATAATATTGTGTCTTAATGTCTGCAGTTCATAAACCCTATAGGATGGAATCGTTTATCTAGTGGCAGCCATCAACTGATGTCACAGCCGAAATCCCTTTGCTGAGGTCCGGATGGTCAGTGGGAACACATGGCTCTGAGGCTGCCTGTTTGGGCATGTGCAACAGAATCTCACTGTGATTGGCTGTTTTCCAAGTCCTCTTCCTATGGCTCAGTCCATGTAAATGTTTCTCTTTCTGTTGAATTTGTCAAATTAATTATTCTAATGTACAAACAAAATCTTGGAGATCCTTGACTAAATTCCATTTACTCACTCCATACTACTCCGTAAAACTGTACCCACTTGCTTTCTGCATGGCCTCATATGATATTGTCAGTCTTGTCCAATTTAGTGTCCCTTTACAAAACACAAGTGATTTCATTTGTCAACTACCTAATCTAAGTATAAAAGTTTTAAGCCAAAATCTTGAAGCAGCTATGCTTCTTTCAATAATGAAGTACCTTGAAAACTATACTGACTCACTTTCTATTATTAATATTACTGTCTTAGATTGAATCCTTTGATATTATTAATTTTGTCAGCTGAGTGTCACCTTTTTCTGATGGTTTGACATCTGAGATGGCTCCTTGTCAATAGCAAAGAACAAAATTACTTTGAAGATAAATCATCATGGCATTCATGATTTGGTGTTAGTGACATGGTATTAATGTATTTCAAGAATGTTTCTTTCACTTGGGACTGTTACATTTTATATTATAATCAAAGAAAGGTATATTGAAGATGAAACATAGGTTGATGAAATTTTTGTGGGTCAAGCATAGCTAAGTTTAAAGAGGGAAGGGACTACAAGTAGAGAGACTATGGGGAATGTATATAGGGAAAGATCCCAAGTTGACCCAGTGAGGCACCAGCAGAATCACTGCAGATGTGACAAAGTAAGGTGTGGTAATGATAAAGTTGGCAGTCCCCTACTCAAAGAGGATGGTATCTTTATAGAAGTCTAGCTATAATGACATGCGCATAGGGAGAATTCCATGCATTGATGAAGGCAGAGATCTGATGAAGGCAGTTTGTTTACAGCCAAGAAAGAACAGATATTGCACGTTCACCACAGAAGGTCAGGAGAGAGGCCTGGTCTAGTCTCTCTCATCCCTCGGAGTAACCCAACCTGCCAGCACATTGATATCATTCTGTCCCAAGGACTGTGACACACAAAAAAATCTCTTCATCTCCAAAGATCCAGATTGTGGTAATTTGCTATAACATCCATAGTAAACAAATACAGAGCTTGAAATGAAATTTAAAGGGGAATTGTGGGGAAATGGAGATATACCATTTTACTTTCCTGAGTTTATGGTTTCAAAAAAGTAATTGCTACTCATTGATGCATTCAGCAGATCATAATCCCTGTGATGAATGATGACTCCATCAGTGAAGTTTCCCTGAATCTTGGTGGAATTATTCATTCTGATTTCATTAGAAAGTAAACACTTCTGAACAAAAATATGTATTTTCTTTGTAAATTTGTCTGAAGTCAGCAGGAAAAATGCAACTGAAATCTTAAAAGAATATTTAAAAACTCATTTCTTAGGCAATCACTGGGAAAAAAGGGGAAAAAAGACTTGCAGGCAGATCTTGTAATCAATCACTCTACTTAGAATTGCTCCCTTTTCCAAACTGTGTTTTCCAAATACAAGATCACTTCTATCTTAAATGAAAGCCAGTTTTCCCTTATTAATTCAATTTTGTTACTATCTTCAGTTTACAAAATTGTGACTGAGAAGTAGGTTTCTAATAGAAAAAATGGTGTGTTTTAAATCACTGAATTAAGTTATCTTCTGTTGTGAGTAAATCAAAGCCATACATAATTACCTTATGATCAACCAATTGTAAGGGTATAGGTCTTTTTGAATGTTATTTTCCCATATCCAACAGAAAAAAGTGGATGGTAACAATGTATTTTTAGTCTTCCTTCCAAGTGTAAAACTGAGCAAACATTTGTGTTAATTGTATTTTAAGTCCTCTAAGTGCAATGACTTTGCTTGTACTTACTATAACTGCCTAGGGAACTTTTACCATAAACTGTTACAAAGTGAGTAGTTAATGAAAGTTGTTGACAACTTGGTCATCTTTCAAAAAAATCATTCTCTGGCATATGGTAAAATAATTTCAAAGCATAATTGTTTCTATAATACAAAATCAGCCATCAGAAAAATATATTTCTACAGTTTGGCTTAGAGACTACATCTAATTCATTACTATTCTTACTTCAGACTCTTTAAGCACCTAGGAAGAAGTTTTTCACAAAATTTAAAAAGCAATTTATGGACAAGATAGAATATATTATAAATAAATTGTTGCCTTTGATTCCCTTTTTAAAAATTTTAAAATCTGGATCAGTAGACAGAAAAATTAAATTGGGAATAGAGCCATAAGGCCAAGCAATAAATTTTAGGATATAGCACTTTGTCACTCTAATCTGACCCTCCTACCTTCCTTGCTAAGGTAAAATCTAGCCATAATTCACCATTATGATCAACCAAGTAGAGTTCTTAGACAAACCGCATAAATATATAAAAGAGAGGAATCTGCTCTCTGCAGTGCACTCTGGTGATCATAAAAGAAAAGAAAGGAAAGGTTGTCTAGTAACCAATGCACTCGGTTGTATGAAACTGTTGGAAGAAAACAGAGGTCCTTAGCAACAGAGAAAAGAACACGACAGCAGTGTAGCCATCCATCACAATAAACCTTGACTTGAACATATGACCAGCTCTGAATTTCCCAGCTGTGGTCCAGGAGACCCTGTCCTGTTCTGGAGTCATGAGTTCTGTATTTCCCCATTCTGTACTGTACACCTGTGGTTACGATTTGTTTTCACATGTAAAATGTATCTCATTCTAAATCTTTTTTTTTTTGCACTGACCTACCCTTATTGCCTTTGGAAAATAACTTTACCCAGTTTAGGATGCATAACATAACATAAATAGATGTTAATTCCAGAGTGACAAATAACTGGATTCTCAAAACAACATGAAACATAGAAGAGACACTTACAAAGGCTGAAATTCTTGGTGAAAGTCTTGAATTCATAGGAAAGTACAGGAAGTATCCCAAGTCACTCAGCATAAGCACCTCTGAGCAGGAGGGGGGTGGGGGAGTCCTACCCATCCCCCATCTTTTCCTCTCTACTTTGCTCCTCTCCTCAACCCCATATTCCAGGTCCAGGTGAAGGTCTTGCAAGAAACCTTGATTTCTTTTCCTTCTGCTTCCTGAGGACTCAACTTTTCTATCTTATCTATTTTAACACAGCTGCATTCTTAGCACTCTACTTAGCCATATCATGAAAATGACAAGAAGATCTCTTGTTTCCTACAAAATAGTAGTTAAAGAGTCCACATAACTCACATAGCCTCTATCCCATTTTACTCTGTTCTTTCTTATTCAAAGCCCCCAAACAGGATGTTTCCTCTTCTAATCTTACCTTTTATTTACAATCAGATTGGAATCCTGCCAGTCCACCCACATTTTCTAAGATGACACTTTTCTGATGTGCTTTGTCTTGTTTAATTCCATTGACATTTGGATCTTTACCTGATGGATTGCTTCTCCCCCCTCCTCCTAGGCAATCTCGGCCTGCCTACTCAGCCTACACACAGTAGCAGCAGCCCACGCATCTCAGAAAGAGTAAAGCAACTCAAAGAGGAAAGAGGAACATTTCCTGTGAGGTCAATTCATTAAACCAAAGACAGTCTTTATGTTACTGCACTAGACAATATTTTAAACAAGGTGAACCTCAGTTATGTTTTGTTTTTCTTCCTGATATCCAAAGGACAATTGGAACCCAGAAAGAAAGTTCATTTGGATAGAAAGATACAAACTTTTGTACACTTTTATTAACGCGCATGAGTGTGTGTGCATGAGCACATACACATACATGAATGCTGGTTCTGGGCCTTAAATCAGGGCCTGGATACTGTCCCTGAGCTCTTTTGTTGAAGACTCTACTTGCCTTTTGGATGGTTAATTGGAGAT